AAAATGGTATTTTTACTTTCATAATCAGCAAATTTAGGGATTAGCCATTGAAACACATCTTTACTTTTATCGTAAATAGCATTTTCAGTTGAAATAGTTAAATTCCCAAACTTTGGGCTTCCTTTTTTGGAAGCCATATTTTGCTCGGTTTTCATAAGTCTGAAATTCCGTATTTTGAAAAATTTGTATCTCCTGTGCCATATACCCAAATCAATCCATCTTTTGTTTGCAAACAAAGAATTTATCGATCTTTCAAATTTGCTAAAGAACAGTTCTGGCAAAGTAAGTTTTCCTATAAATATTTCACAATATGTAGACCATGGTTTTGTGAAAACACGTAAATATGCCTTTACTTAATCGCTAAAATATTTCTTAATTTACAGGATATGATATCAAAATCTACTCAAACATGTAGTACAAAGACCGAAATGTCCATTTATACAATGTAAATGCACTCAAATGTCGTGAGTTTTGCATTCTCAGCTCGTTTATAGTGGTAATTTCGACTGATCTTACAGCATATTCGAAGCAAAACATTTAACTCACCCAAATACTTTCGAGTGAAATAGGAATGTTTATCAGCTCCAAATGTTTCAATCACATCTTTAAATTAGTTCTGGAGTACTTTTCAGTCAATCAAACGGTCTGGGAGTGAGTTTTTAGCAAAATGAAGGGTATAGTAGCTTCGATTGACACTTGATTTCTCCTCGAGCGAGTAAATTGGCTTCTTCAGTGGCTTATCTTTAACTTCCCATCGGCGAAATCGTAGCAAAAAAGAGTGCATATCAAGGTCTGCTTCTTTTCCTTCACAAGCTATTAGCTTTTGGTGGCTAACTTTACAGTATTTTGCGTTGAAATCTGCTTATTGTTTGCGAAATACAAATTGGCGGGAAACCGCTGTTTTTGCTTAAACGGCTTTCTAGAATAACTGACATGTGTAATTTCTGTGAACTCTGCGGGATTGTTTAGACGATTGTAATGCAGGTGATTTGTCGCCTTTACAAGAATTCATATCACTTGAGATGTAATGTCGTGTAGGTGCGTATCAAAATTGTAACTGTTATTAAATCTAAGGTATATTTTAAACAAGTTTTCTCTGTGAACGCGGTCAAAATGTTCTGCAAGCACTCAAATTCTTGTGTTTATGCGACCAATAACGCGTATAGGTTTAGTGAAATGAGAATAAAAATCATGAAAAGGACGGGAAGCTATAAACTTACGGGTCGAACGCTCCAAAAAAAAGAAAAAACAGTGATGAATCGCATCGAATATTTTCCTTAATTTAATTTTGGAATTCAGTAATTTTAATCGTAAAAATATCAATGAAACTGCTTTATCAATTTATTGTTGTTCATAGTATGCTGCATGGCTAATATAAAGCCACAAATTTAAATCATTTCTAGAATCAAACACAGGAAGCCCAGCGGAAAGGGGGATTTTGTATGCATTCCGATTGATTGTGTTTTAACCACAATCATGAATTAAAAAATAGTATTATATACTACATTACAGGCATTTTCCAAATATTTTCAAAGTTCCTTAGCCAAAAACCAAAAACCCTTTTTTTGTCATCGTGACCGCTTCGGGACGCGTTGGAAAAAGCAGGTTTTTATCAATGACGTTTATATTTCCGTCATATTCATTTCCCCTAGGGTGAAATATTTAATTGCGCTTAGCTCTTTTGCTGCATGGTTTGCACAATGCGATTCACATGCGCATATCAGGACTGCAAAATCAATGCGTTTTTTCTTGTCCAAAAAGTGAAAACATATATACTTAAAAGCAAAAATATTTTTTTCATGAACACAACTCATCCTCATTGTAGACATTATATATATTTTAAAAATTAGATGAGAAATTAGCTGGTAAAAAATATTTATAACTAGACTCTTTCTTCCCTGTGTCCACGTCAAAGAGGAAGCCCTCACAAAATGAGAACCGCGATGCAGAACACAACGAGCTTTAAACAAATGTAATGGAGTTTTTCTTTCTTTACTGGCATGTTTCGATTATATGAATATCAAGAGGTCGACTTGTAGCAAGTCTAACACAAACACAATCAGCGTTCTATGTACACACACACAAATAATAAACACAGCTGTTTCCCACCAGTTTGAACTTTATGCTCAGCGGTATCTACAGCAAAGTTATGCCAATATTTCGCAAACAATAAGCTGATTTCGACGCAAAATACTGTAAAGTTRGCCACCAAAAGCTAATAGCTTGTGAATGAAAAGAAGCAGACCTTGATATGCACTCTTTTTTGMTACGGTTTCGTCGATGGGAAGTTAAAGATAAGCCACTGAAGAAGCCAATTTACTCGCTCGAGGAGAAATCAAGTGTCAAATATTGTCGAAGCTACTATACCCTTCATTTTGCTAAAAACTCACTCCTAGACCGTTTGATTGACTGAAAAGTACTCCAGAACTAATTTAAAGATGTGATTGAAACATTTAGAGCTGGTAAACATTCCTATTTCACTCGAAAGTATTTGGGTGAGTTAAATGTTTTGCTTCGAATATGCTGTAAGATCAGTCGAAATTATACCACTATAAACGAGCTGAGAATGCAAAACTCACGACATTTGAGTGCATTTACATTGTATAAATGGACATTTCGGTCTTTGTACTACATGTTTGAGTAGATTTTGATATCATATCCTGTAAATTAAGAAATATTNTTTTACATTTCGCTTCTTTTATACGTCGATGTGTTGTCATCAATTTCCTTGTGTCGTGAAGTAGATTGCGTAAGCAATCGAAGAGTTATTGGAGGGGAACGATGTCACTCACTCACTTTCCTGTTAACTTTTAAAGATAGCCACTGAAAAAAATCGCAGGCTCTCAAAATCCGCTGGAAAAAAAATCGCAGGCTCTCAAAATGGCGGACCAAGAAATATACCGGGGAAATATAACGTGTCAAAACATTCCTAAAGCTGGTTTCGGGGAAATTTACTTGACTTACTTGGAGCAAATCGTACTAAGTCATTTTGAAGAAAGTTAGAAAATTTGGATGGATAGCGAAACGAGTTTTGAAGCCGAATTTGCCGGYGAAGACTAACTGCGATCGTAGGTTTGTTGATAATACTACAGCAATACAATGTTTTAGCTGATCATGATAAGCTAGCTCTGTGATACACTTTTCAATTTCATATTTTGTTAATTTTTTTTTCAAAATCACCCTACAATCTCCGAGTTGTGTTGCCATTGGCAGCTTGATTTTGTCTTAAGTCATTTAATCATCAAACTCGGGTCTCCATATGCCATGTCCCGCTCTATACACACAGTTTKTCACGAGATTAAGGAATATCGATCATTCACCGTGTTCTTGAAATTGCTATATGCCAGTAGAAACGAAACACTGACGTACTTTGTGATTCGATAAATCAGAAATTCGATGTGTAAAACGKACCTCGGGATTATGGCCTTATTGCGATTCGGTTTGAGCTTCTTAAGCTATTAAAACTATCAATAATTGTACTACATAATACATGAAATAAAGTCCACTCCCCAAGCGTAAACTCCGATTGCACTCACATATCACCTTTTTTCGGATGACTTTCAGCATATGCAAATGCCCAAACCACTCTAAATAGGAAGTTAAATAGTAAAAATCTAGAGACTAAAATTAGCAATAAATAGCTGAGAGTACACAGAATAAAAACTAAGGAAATAATCACACCACCTAAGACGAGTTGGGGGAGAGACAGTGGGAAAAGAGTATAAATGAGATTTACAATGTTTTGCATAAAAAGGAGATCGTGCTAGGCATTCGGTTATTTGATACAATTTGAAATACAAGTTTTAAGAGTAATTACTTTGTGCAAAGTAAAGCACTTAACCTATGTAGCCATTGCTGATATCCACCATGTCTATGTCAAGAGCAGTAAGTAGTTCAGCTCCTTGGAGAAGGTTACAAGACTGGACAGGGGCATTGACTTCAGCATCAACTTGGGTAACAGAAGGGAGGCAAACCTGCCCTGTGCTCATCAGATCATTGGTGATATAGCCATTTCGTCGAATGGATTCTGGGATCTTTCTCAATGAGACAGGAGAACTGAGTGCCGAAAGGCTTTGTGACGTTCTTTTTATCTTTCCAGGCGAGAGGTACGAGGTCTTGATGCTATTTCCATCCAGCCAGCATGATGAAGGTCCGATAGATATGTCCGCCAACATTTCATCATCACACATCAGCCCCGCATCAGTAGAGGGGGGAGGAATGAAAGGAGCTCGATCTTGCATGTCCAAGTCATCATTTTCATCGTCGTCCTGCTGTTCATCTTTTTCTTGTTTCACGTGATTTAAACTCTTGTCTGAGCTAGGTGATGGAAGAAACGGCGCACTTGTCTCCAAGTCGAGAGKTTTACATGATTCAATGCTTGTTTGTCCTGGCGAGAGTGGTGGAGTCTCGATGGGTGAAATACCGTAGTGATCCCAGGTATACTTRTGATAGGCATCTTGCTGCTGGATGACATCTTCCCACGCCAAAGGAAAGCACTCCTGGAAGTTCATATGTTCGCATTCTACCTCAGAACAATCACAGATTTTCTTTTCTTTCTGAGAACCCTGTTTAGCGCAGCTTSTATAGATTGTCTCCTGTTTGGGAATAGGAAGCTCACTACTCTTGTTCTCTGCTTTGGCTTCTTGCTTGATCAATTTGGTTCGCTCTTCGAGTACAATATCATCTTTYCTTCGCTTGCTCAATTGGTCTTTTGTATGAAGAATGTTGTTCAAACCATTGACAAGAGGGATTGGATTGGTTTGTTCACTTGAAAGGAATGACATACTGTTTTGTTTGCCCCTATGAAGACAGAAACAACTTATCAATTGTTTTTTGTTTAATGTTAATCAGAGAATCCTAGAAATATATTTTAATAACGAAGGGACTCGCTATTTTTAYTTTTCCATAGTCTCCTGCTCGGCTTCATGATGAGATTGTAACGGCAGAATGCTTTTTAAAGCATTTTTAAAAAGGCATYGAGGAACCAGAAATCCTGATCCCACCGTGCTTTGACAGCCTAATTCAKGGTCGCTTGGTGTGCACTGATTATCAACGATAGAATAGCAGTAAGAGGCATAGCTAATGATATACCTTTCTGATATCCCTTTTAAAAACTACTCTCGAAGTTCATGCCTAACCATTTAAGAATGGAGCCACTAACACCTTCATTTTCCCTTCATTACACATTAGCGTACAACACCATTTCAACGCCATACAACTCTGTCAGAATACTCCCTTTTCTAATTCAAAGATAATCAAGAAAAATACTAGATAGATGGTTTATTTGTAAAACATCGTAGCCAAATATATAAAATAAATCGGCTGAATTGCGAAGAATACATTGATAGTGCTCAACTTAAAAGGAGCAATTTATACATAAAATACTGAGCTAAACGCTTTGAATATGATCCATTGATTTATTGCTACAGACCTGTTACGTATGGTTTGACCCACACTCATCAGGCAATTTACAATGAATGACCGCTAGATATCCTATGCTGGTAATTTGAAAGAAGATGGTTGCTAGGTTACATTTATCAGGTTAAATAGAAGTTTTTGAGCGTGTATTTATTTCTGTGGGGACATGGGCTTGCGAGTTCATTACGTTTGTTTAGCGAAGATAGGTGTTTCTTACAGATAATTATGAAACTTTTCGTTCAAGCATAAATTACATTTTTTGTTCTCATTATTATATGGTTGGCTTTTTTTGATTACTTTCCACGTCAAGTTGAATTTTCTGTTGTTTTTCAGTTCCCCAATATGCTCTTATATATGGCTCTTATATATATGATATAAATTTAATCGTATGAGGAAGTGGCTGATCACATTAAAGAGTGCTCAATACACATAAAGTTTAGAGCTAGTTATATATATGATATCAAAGAGGCAGGATTTTGCTGTAACTCCGAGTTTCGTGCTACGCACTCAATTAAATACTGTCTGATGAGTGCGTAGCACGAAACTCGGAGTTACAGCAAAATCTTGCCTCTTTGATATCATATATATAATATAAATTCTCCCCGATTTTTTTGGGGTGAGAAACGGATGTACACAGGCTAATGTTTATATGCTTTGAAAATTGTTCGGTTAATACAACTCACAAAATATGCCTTTACGCTAAAAATTGTGGCTAGAATAAGTCATTCCTACGCACATAAAAATGATTTGCCCAAACTAATTTTTATTTTTTTGTAAAAGCTCATGCCTTGCTTAGTTATCACTCCGAATTTCATTGGAAACAAAACACTTGCACATAGAAAATATGATCTTTTTTTCCTAGATACTAAYTTGCATATACAACTACATATGTAAACACTCCGAGTTACAGAAAAAATTTTTTTTAATTAAATGCTCTGAAAATCAACGAAATAAATAATAAATAGTTACTTATTACTTATTACACAATTTGAATTTTTAAAATTATTATTTTACATTTCACACAAACTCGGTAGAAAGTTTGTCCAGTATTTTAAGTGCTCCCTAATATCAAAGGGCGGGGGTCCTCGGCGGAAATTATGAAAATGACCCCTAAKAGKGACCTGTATTTGGAGATGATGGGCGTGGCAGTGCTGAAATTTCATCCATAAAAGGGACCAATAATCTCGTCTATTAAGGAGTGTTAAGTGACAAGACGTGAAATTGATTAAAAYAAAATCAATCATYTAATTAGCAGCTGTGGTTTTTGATCTCATAATGACGGCTTAAGGACRCTCTTAAACACTTTWTAGGCAGCCAGAAAGAACATAAACCGTTGTTTTCGAAATTAATGGCATTTGGATTTAAAAAAATATCTCTAATATGGTTAGTTTGCCAGTTTGTTTACAATTTTTAAAGCGGTATTTTACACTGATGTGAACATGGGCGACATAACAAAAGTTGTTTTGTCGAAAAAACTGATATTGAATTAAACTGAGTTAAATTTAATGTTTTGAAAGCATGCATTTTCTAYCATCTCTTTAATGGCTTCTACAGTAACAACTTCCCTGTGACAAAAAGCCAAGCAGGAGACCGGCTGTGGGGTAAATAGTCTACTCTAGTCTAATGACTAAAATAATCTGGACATACCCCAAGACATAGTTAATGCAGAACACAAACTGTGGTTGACATGTTTTACTGTCATAAACAACATGTGCTTTAGTTTGTATCCATACCCATCCACCATCACGAACCAAGAATCGATAGTACTTGCTGACAGACTGTCCTTTGGTCAACACTGAAGAMAAAAGACAAAAGGAATTATAGAGATCAACGGAGTCTCTTGTGTCATAACGTATTATATCTATACCTCAATAATTTTCGTACCCAGACACTTTTCATCGTCCGACCGAAATTAAAGGCTTTGGGACACCCTGTGATTTCAAGCCACATGATTGGCCAACTAAAATAACGTGGGACAAACTGGTAATAGCCGACTTGCGAATTTTGCCTCRGTAGTCAACACAAAAGAATCAAGACGAGGCGCCGTGCATAAAGCTCAGTCATTCGTGGAAAGGCAATAGTTTTTCAGGATTGACTGAATTTTAGCAAGGCGCCTCGTCTTGATTCTTTTGTTTGACAAATGGAGCGAAATTCAAAAATTCAAATACTTATAAAACACAGTACGTACGTTGTTGATTTTTGGCAATTTTTGGCTAAAACCCTTTACAAAGAATAAGAAACTTAGTAAATAAAAACCTGAGATTATTCTTTGTGACATCGAAATGATTCGAATCAAGCCAGTGAAAAATTGGTCTCAAGTATATGATATTTTTCACTGAAGCACCGATAAAGTTCAATCATCGAGCCGATGGGCTGTTTTTTAAGCAAGATTATAGCTTAATAATTGYCATTTCTCGATGATTTTATCATAAAAAGAGTTGACAAAGCAASGAAATTTCTAGTAGAAGAAAATGTTTGAAAAACACATATCGACAATTATTTTGGCGCCCAATAAATCCAGGTTGTTTTTTTTACCCCGCGATTGAGCAGAAAAACCATTCTGAGTCTGGAGAAAGATCTCAGAGCATATTACGGTGTCCCAGAGCCTACAATAGGCCGCTAGAGTAGGGTCGGTGTACGAGGATGTACCCCAATCAGTAAATTATTATTTTATTAATCTTAAAAGGTAGTTTATAAGACTAAAATTATTTCAACACATTTCAGCTTACATAGCTTGTGAGTATTCAGAACGTTGTCCAAATCCGCAGCGTGATGAAAGTTGTACCATGACTTCCCGACCAACTCTTTCTGTGAGTAACCCAGGAGACTGGTCGCCCTGTGCATGACAGAGTGCACGTTTGGACTTATCACGTATTATAACTCGGCATTAYTTATATTAATACCATTACCACCTCGGTATCCATATTGTATTTGGAGGGATGTTTACATCCTAACATCCCTCCTCATGAATAACATGAGGGCAGTTAAGTTTCTAAATTGCCCTCATTAATTATTTATGAGGGCAATTTTAGAAACTAAATTTCCCTCATCAATAATTAATGAGGGCAATTTAAAACTAAGTTGCCCTCATGTTATTCATGAGCTAGTCCCACGTATCTCAATCACTGSGACTCGGGTTTAATTGACTAAACCCTTTGAAAATCGATATATCTCCTAATGAAGTTGTACCATCAGAGCGTATAAGCAGTCAGTCATACACAAAAATAATTTGCACATGCGTAACAACTGACTAATTTTTTAAACTAATCATATTGACATTATTTTTAAAACTAAAGTACATTTTCTCAAAGTAAGCGGATGTCAATCTTTACRCATGCGCATTTCAATTGGCAGCATCAAACAAAAAAGCTTTATTCCTGAAATCGTTTATTCATTCACTAATTATTAACTTTGTCATGGTATACATCTATTTCAAACAACGTTGTCGGGAAGAACGGCGAACGGTGATTGCCGRAGTTAGATTGCACGACCGAAAGGGACTTTGGTTACACTGTTACACTATCTCGACGACATCAGATTGACACTTGCACATTGTTATACCAATCTAGTTCCGTTTCAACTTATGAAGAACTGTTGTAAACCCAGAGGCAGTAAGGAATCTTGCTGGGGATCAGCAGCGGCAGTCCAAGCGACTGATCCACCGGTCGAACCGCATGTTATAAATCAACCACAAAATGATCAAGCGGGTGTAGCCTCCTCCGCAGGCATCACTAAGAATCACGGGCTTCCTGTCTTTTTGAGTAGTTAAAAGAGGGAGAATGGGGGCGAGAAAAGGTCTTAATTTTATTTTTCCTATCTTGTCACTAGTCCCTTACGTCCATTATGACCGTTACAAGCATTTGGCTCGAATGACCGTCGGATCAATAGAATTACGTAATGAACGGGTAAAGTTTATGAGAGAGTCCGTGACCGTGACTGTTAAAGGAATTTGAAGGAAGATGCTTATACTGGTTACTTGAGAGTTCAAATGAGAGTCCGTGATCGTGACAATTAGAGGAATTTAAAGGAAAATGCTTGAAGTGCATTTGAAAGTTTGAAGAAGATCGATCTTGTGATCGTAAGAATTAGAGGAATTTAAAGGAAAATGCTTGAAGTGCATTTGAAAGTTTGAAGAAGATAGATTCCGTGATCGTAACAAGTAGAGGAATTTGAAGGACAATGCTTGAAGTATATTGGAAAGTTTGAAGAAGATCAAGTGCGCGATCGTGACAATTAGAGAAAGTTAAAGGGAATGATTGAAGGGTATTTGAAAGTTGAAGAGATCATGATCGTCAAAGGATGTTTGTAACATGTAGATGAGCTCCGTAATCGTGACTATTTAGTAGAAAGCTTAGTATATATTTGACTGGTTTAAATGAAAGTCCGTGATCGTGACGGTTGAAGGAATTTCTTTTAGGGACAATGCTGAGGGTGCATTTGGCCGTGACCGTGACTAGTTTAGGAATTTAAGGTAAGGGACGGTCTATTTAAAATTTCTTCTTTGTTAACAGGATATTGATACAGAACTTTTACCCTGTGTATATTCTCGGTTTGCACAGGACCTCATCAGTCGAAAAAAATTCTAAAATCACAGACACAMAACATTACAATACTAAAATACCTTGAAGAGCATGAAAGAAGTTCTCTCTGAAAGTTCCAACTTTTTTGCTGTTTATTCGTTGAGTTATTAACGTTCAAAAATATGTCATRCAATACTGTCACGCGACTTGAAATTAACCTCGGAAAGCCTATTATCTTAGCCGAAGGCGAGCCATTGTATTCCTAATACAGATCGGACGCGAATATTCTATATGACTTATGATATCCATGGCCATCCATCATTGAGCACCTAAACTTATTATTTCTTGACAATAGCTAAAAGCTAAAATGACACAGCTCGTTAAATGTATTACAAACGCTGTGTCTATATGGCCGGTTACCGGTCAAGGTCTTGAAAATGCTAAATGGCCGGCAGCCCATAAAATGTGTTTTTCCCTCTATTATTATCTAAACGAGCTTCCAAACTCCAAAACAATACTCTACGAGTAAAATGAGTGTGTTAAAACTTACATAAACKTCGCGCSGAAATTCGTTGCACTTAGAGACATTGTGCGAACTTGAACCGACTGCCGGCCACGCAACAGCGAAATCCTAAATGGCCGGCAGCCCATAAAATAACAGATTTCTCTTTTTTTATTCTTATTTAAAGAGTTAAAACAACATAATCAACATTTTTGAAACTTTCATGGTACTGGAGAGACATTTTTGTATTCGAGAAAAATCTCAAGCAACACGCCGGCCTGCCGGTCACGCAACATCAAATCCTAAATGACCGGCAGCCTATAAAATAACAGATCTCTCTTTTATTATTTCTATTTAAAGAGTTAAAACAACATAATCAACATTTCTGAAACTTCCATGGTACTTTTWTGTATTCGAGAAAATCTCAAACGACACGGCGGCCTGCCGGTCATCTTTTTCATCATGCATCTTTTATTATTCAAATTTAAGAGTTAAAGGATTATTGCCAGTTCCAACTGTAAGTACATACTCTACCCGAGAAAAATCTGGATTCTTTACTAGGATTACAGTTCATGTTCAGAAGCATGGTTATGCTGTGTGGCAGACAGCTCATATGATAATGTTGTATGATGATAATGTATGATGAAAATGTTGTATGATGATAATGTTGTATGATAATGTTATATGTTGACAATGTTGCATGATGATAATGTATGATGATAATATGATTCATCATACAACATTATACAAGATCATACAACATTATCAGCATACAACATTATTAATATGTACAACATTTTCATCATACAGCATTATCATCATACAACATTTTCATCATCATACAACATTATCATCATACAACATTTACCATCATACATCAATGCTATAGTTCTCCTACTAAAGTCCTATTTCATCAGGATAATGATTCCACTGCATATGAGCTGTCTGCCACCCAGCATAATCCTCTGAACATCTGAACTRTAATCCTAGTAAAGAATGCAGATGTTTCTTGGATAGAGTAATGTACTGACACTGGCAATAATCCTTTAATTCCTAAATTTGAATAAAAAAAGATGCATGGAAAGAAAAATCTGTTATTTATTGAGCTGCCGGCCATTTAGGATTTTGATGTTGCGTGACCGGCAGGCCGCCGTGTTGCTTGAGATTTTTCTCGAATACAAAAATGTCTCTATAGTACCATGAAAGTTTCAGAAATGTTGATTATGTTGTTTTAACTCTTTAAATAAGAATAATAAAAGAGAAATCTGTTATTTTATGGGCTGCCGGCCATTAAGGATTTCGTTGTTGCGTGGCCGGCAGTCGGTTCAAGTTCGCACAATGTCTCTAAGTGCAACGAATTTCGGCGCGACGTTTATGTAAGTTTTAACACACTCATTTTACTCGTAGAGTTTTATTTTGGAGTTTGGAAGCTCGTTTAGATAATAAGAGAGGGNTATAATATTTGCCTTCAGTAAGCGTTCATCAGGGGGGGGTCTTAGACAGGGTGATATTTTCATAAGAACTACCGTAGAAATAGTAGAAATACCGTTTCACTGTAGCAGGATTAAGGTGTTATCAAAAACTTCTTGTCTTTGATGGATGTCAGTTTAACTGCAGTTTTGATGGTTGCGGCGTAGATAGCGATTCCGTATTTTTCCGATTTGTCTTGAACAGGGTATGGATTTTCACTTTCTAGTGTCTTAAACAGGATCAGGGTTTTAGACCGCTACAAATACAGAATACTAATAGATCTATTAGTATTCTGTATTTTTTCTAACATCCTAATAGATCTCATTCTCTATTGTTATTATTCATCAACCCCACCCTTTCCCTGCTTTGAATTCAGGCCCTCCCCGCGCTTTAAGTTTGTATTGGTGATTATTTCATACTTGATTCAGTTTTCTTTGTTATTCATAGTGTTGTATCTCGCTTATTCCACAGCTTATTGTGTATTCAAGTGCTTTATATCGAAGTTTCAGGGATATATCTAGATATCGCCCCCATTTGAGGGCAATATCTATATACTGCCCTTGAATACTAATGTATACTGCCCTTGAATACCTAATTAACTGCTACGTTCAACTTAGAAAATTTCCGTCTGAAACTTTAAACTTGAAAGAAAAATTCAAATGACGCAGCCTTAACATGGTCGCTAAAGAGACCAAACACCCTAAGGCGGGATATTACAATGCCGTCCTACAAGCGCTGCGTGAGAAAATGTCCGTCTCGGATGAACAGTTTATAGGGAATATATATCGGGCTTACTTGGCGACAAGAGCCAAGAGGAAGTGCTTAAAAGAATGTCACAGGTGGATAAGGCGGGTAGAGCCAAACGAGGTCGGGAGACATCACGGGGACGGGCGAGGACCCAACCTTATCAGGTCCAGTGTTATTTTTGCAATGGTTATTGTCATTTTCAACGGAACTGCTATGCCCGAATGAGATGACAGGAATGGGGGAGAGGTCAGGCCAGAGGACAAAGCCCTCGTACTTAGCTCCCATACCTTGATTTGTAAGGAGAAATACTAAACTGTGTGCTTATGTTATTTATTATATATATTCTAAGGGTATTTACATGCGTTCATTTGTAAAGAGAAATAATATATCCGTATAGCTGTGGGCTAATCCCCTACTTGCAGAAACGTTGTCATAGAAAATAGAATTTGAATTTAGTAAAAAGGAATAAATTAAAACAAGACAAAAGAGAGCGTTCAGCCTCAGTGATCTTCTTTTGTCTTTTTTAATTTATTCCTTTTTTACTAAATACAAATGTCCTATTTTCTATGACAAGGTTTTCGCAGGTAGGTGTATATTCTAAGGGTTTTTACTTAAATCTCCTTTTTTGTGTTTCTTTTTTGTTCATGTGTCCTGGATTAGGGAGAGTAACTCTAATGGGTTCGCCTCTCAGCTGTGCGGTCTGTGGTGAGTCTCACTCTCGCGTGGACGTGGTAGTTGCCCCCTTCTGGTCAGGGATCCCATCCTGTGGGGGGRACCACTCCTTAACCTTTCATTTCTGTATGAGGAGATCGGTTTATCGTCTTCTCTCTTTACCTTTCTTTCTTTGTTTCTATGTTTAGAGCAAAAGACGTCGAATAGAGGACTACCCCAGTTTTAAAATACCTCAGTGGGAGTTCGCTGATTGTGAGTTTKATCGTAAATTATTGTTAATAGAAGAACCTCGAGCTAGAAAGATATCATGGGTTTCCATGGATGGGATCCCTGTCCAGGGGGGAGGTACTACTTTTTCGGTAGARGAAATCCTGTCAAAACAAAGCGTTCCTCAATTGTCTACTTTGCACCTTCGTGATGCAGAGCGATTTGTGGCGGGAGGTCTCCATGTTGACCTGTCTCTATAAGAAGTCATTTTGCAACAGCATCCGAAACGCGAGTTGATATTGTCATGGCTAAGAGAGGGTGTGTACTGGATTTTCAGCAGTATTTCTCTGGTTCCTTCAAAGGAGTCCGCTATGAATCGGATCTCCCACCTGCCAAAGTATGGCAGAATCATGCCCCGTGTAAGAAATTCTTGAAATTTGTGACAGGCACGATAATAAAGAGGGTATCGCAAGGAGCCATTGCGGTTTGGGGAATATAAATGAGCCGCCATTCCTTGTGCTTCCTCTGACAGTGGAACCGTCGAAACCTAGATTGTGTCTAGATGCTAGGTTTCTTAACTTTGGATGCGGGACAGCCCGTTGACGTTGGATAAGTTAGTTGACGTCCCAAGATACGTGGTACAGAATTCTTACATAACCAAATGTGATGACAAATCGGGTTATGATCATGTTTTACTCCAAGAGTCTTGCCGAWGTTTCTTTGGCTTTGAGTGGAGTGGCTGGTGGTTTGTTTGTAAAAGCTCTATCAGATTGTGCTCGGGAGAAACTTGCAATTGGAWTTGTCACACATCGCGTCGGGYGACAATRAAGCAGACGGGCCCTCAAGGCGTTTGTCTTGCTTGGATGCAATGCTCTCTCCAAATGCTTGGCAGCAGGTGCAGAAGGAATTTGGGGGTGACCAGGGTAAAACGTTCGACCTTAYGGCACTTGATTCTAACGCCCAGATCGATCATCATGGTTCTCGATTACCACATTTCACGCCTTGGGCCTACCCCGGGCTCGAAAGGGATTGATCTCTTCTCGCAAGATTTGACCGATGGGTGCTTAKATTTACGTAATCCGTATGTGTTCCCACCTTTCTGTCTGATTGGCGCGGTCGTGAGGTTTCCCTAGACTCCGGTCGGAGTTGTGCTCCCATATCTTATTAATAACAATGACATAAACAGAATAATACACTGTGGTGGTACACGGACGACGGAAGGAAGGAATGAAGGAAACGTGCGTACGCGCGGGAACCCTGTGTCGGTCCATGAAAATTGAACTAGATGGATATACCATTTTTTCTTAGCTATGGTGCTCCGCTAGAAAAAAAAAAACACACAAACAATAACACCAAAATTCAACTTGACACTATTTCTAGTGGCAAGAATCATGGAAATAGACTGACGGGTTTCATTATTCAGACGAAATTTCAGATGGCTAGTCCGCACTGAAAGCGTAGAAGATTTTAACTAACTTTATGTTTGATGGTACTTTGTAAACAACAATGAAAACGGTCATATAAATAAACTCTTACTAACCGAGCTTGTTTGATCTAAATTATTGGCTGGGAGGTCAGCATGCAAAATTTAATTTACAGGGAGGTGATTTAAACAGATTAATTTTTCTTTGAAAACAGTCACTGAGCACGGGATTATTAAAAACAGAGGCAGGCAGATTATTCAATTGAATTAAAATTGYTGTTGGAAAAAAGGAGAACTGTTCAGATGCTGTTGAGGTACTCAGAAGAATGAAYGATTCAGCATGAGTGCGCCGRGTGTGTCGAGTTACAGGGCGCAGTAGACCTTTTGTGTCGACAGTTAGGAGACCTCTGGTGATTTTAAATAGAGTTTTGAGACGCCTATTTGCATGGCGTTGTTCAAGGAACCGCCATCAAAGTAGCAGTAACTCCTGCCATATCTCTTAAGTACCACCGAGCARCGTTGTACCATTTCAATCTTGTGTGAGTTATTGTTTTCAAYGCGTGGGCGTGGSTCCCATACACTAGCACAATACTCCGGCTTTGGCCGGACTTTAACCCATAAGATTTCACRCTCAGTCTCCAAGGAGGGTTCTCTACTAGATAACAGCTTACTTGAGACGGCAATGAAAACAATGTGCTCACTCGGTCCCGGCGAAATACGTTGTAATTACCAGCCAATTGGGCAGGAAAAATCTCACCGTCATCTATGTCTGAGTTCAGCCAGAATTTGGTCACAACAACAATATCTGGCCTTGTACAATCAATGAGATTACAGAATTCCGTCTTTTTGTACAAACAACACCATATTTGGCAGCATGAACAAAAGATGTTTGTACCGAATCTAGACCGCAATTCAATGCAAACTTCTATCTCAGAAAAGACCTATTGTATAATTACTGACGATGTGAGTACATCTATAACATTTGGTCTTCCCGTGGTGTGGTCCAAACACGACATAATTCATAGCACGTTGTCGGAGATAACGATTGCAAAGACAAAGACTGCTCTGATTTACTTACAAAATTTGACTTGCTGGGTTGGCATTGCTTTTTGAAACTGGATACTAAATGGAGCCAATGATATTACCACAAACTAATTTACAGCATAAATCAGTTATTATTTACGATAAATTTGCAAAGCCCATGGATCGCTTTGGTCGTGCAATCAACGTTTGAAATTTCAATTTGCCACTGTTTCCGACATTCATTCTTGAAATAGGTATATATAGATTGACGAAAAGGTAGAACTAAACGCCCACTAAACRACTAAAAATAGGATGCTAATGAGCAGAACCTTGGGCTACAATTACAAGTCATTTTCAGGATTTGCAATTATTTCAGCAATTTTAATTAATTGCAAATCCTGAAAATGACTTGTAATTGCTTTTAAAAACGCTTTTTGWAAAWTTCTCGACTAACTTACTTTTCATCACACTGCAAGAACTTCATATCCAACATATGTCTACTGGTAAAAGTACTTCTATCAAGAGGAACTTCAAAGGTAGTTGCGAACATCAACGGTACCGCAATAGCAACCAGAAATAAAGGCACTTTTTCCTCTCTGCCGTCATCATCATAACGTGTGGTGTATTTCATGCTGCCAGTACAGTGAACAACCTACAAAGTTAAGTACCCATTTGTTCAGTGCCTTCTAACGTAAATACATTATTACAACTATAAAACTTATACTACAGGCTAATTACAAGACACATTTCATGTGTACGTGAAATATAGTTTAAATAGTTTCTAACGAAACCTTCTGCGTGCTTTAGTAACTAAGTTGTAATGAAGTATGTTCTCATTGTATTTTCCTCTTCTTAAATCTCTTCTGGTTGAATGACAAGTATCTACTAATTAATAGATCTTAAATAATCATAGTTATACTAGAGGGAGATCTCTAATGAGTAGCTACAATTTTGATTTTGCTTCAGAATTACACTCTGGTTCATGTTAACCTCTTTTAAAGTATAATCAATTTTTTTAAATCAAAACGAGGATAGTTCAGCTTAGTTAGCACGCGGACTGTGAACTCTCCTATTCTTATTATAAGATGGCATTCCGCCAATTAGTGTATGGTTTTGGCCTTCGTCTCTTGACTCTCTTGAACAGGGGTTTGCAATTGACCTTCAGTTGTCTTGAAAAGGGGTGTACTTGTACGGTGAAATATGGTCAAAATATTTCATATAATTAGTCAGCAAATAAAAACTAATAGTTAATACTTATTTGATTATGTCTCACGGTACAAGTGTGTTGACTCAATTTACGGAAACACTGACTGGTTTATGTCTACATTTTAACTTTTGAATAGGGTATGAAATTTCACAATTTTTATAAATGTATAAAACTGTGATTGTAAGTAACAATTCAATGTAATATATTATCAGAATACCCTGTAAGTTGAGGCTCTKAGGTTCACATTCTTCCCTCTGCTTGTAAGTGTRCTCTTTATACGAAGGAAAAATGACCTGTGTGGATTGACATCATCTTTTTTCTTGGAACCCTTTTTCAGATAATTGCTCATCATGAAGACAGAGTCAGAACAGAACAGGCCATCAAATATCTCCATATCTTCAAGAGGAATTTGTCCTCCAAGCTGATTAGCCAGCTCCTCATGATCGCAAGGGTGAACATATTTGTAAAGGCTATTTCCAGTAACTTCAATCTAACGATGCAAAACTAACACRWTTTAGCCAATTATTCCTTGTAACTTAGAAAAACAATAAGCAAAACAAAGCATTTTCATTTGTTATGACATAGGGTAGTTGGTGTAGGTAGCAAGTGAAGTGAATGAAAACATGTATCCATCTAAATCACGTAACCTAACTAAAATTGCAGTTGGATAAGTGTGCTGTGTTGATCTTGAAACAAGGAAGCAAGGTGCACTGTGAAGAAAATTTACTACCTGATGGTAAGGAAATGAGTGAGATGGATGAGAGTGGGTATAAGTACTTAGGTGTGTTGGAAGGGGCTGATATTATGCAGAAAGCAATGAAGCAGAAGGTGAGAGATGAATACTTGAGGAGGGTGAGCTTGTGGCAAAATCCAAGTTGTATGGCTGTAATTTGATCAAGGCAATGAATGCTTGGGCTGTTAGTGTGGTAAGGTACAGTGCTGGTATCTTGGACTGGAGTGATCGAGAGTTAAAGGAGATGGATGTAAAGACTAGAAAGAGGTTGCCAATGTTTGGGACATTTCACATGAAGGGGAGTGTTCCAAGATTGTACATGAAGAGGAAGCATGGTGGTAGGGGACTGATCAGTGTTGTTGATTGTGTGAGAGAAGAAGAGCATGGTTTGTGTGGGTATGTGAAAGCCAGTGAAGAGTGGATGTTAAAGGTGTTTGGTGAGATAGTAGAAGTTGGTGAGACGAAGAAGGAGTATAAGAAGAGGGTACAGAATGAGAGGAGGGAGAATTTTCTGCAGAAGAGGCTTCACAGAAAGTTTATGAGAGATGTGAGTGAAGTTGCTGATGAGAGGTCATGGCAGTGGTTAAGAGCAGGGTATTTGGGAAAGGGCACCGAGGGGTTTGTACTTGCAGCACAAGAACAGGCTTTGAGGATGAGGTTTTTCCGAGCCACGATCCAAAAGGAAGCTGTTGATCCAAAGTGCAGGGTTTGTGGTAACAGAATATTACATGGTTCCTTGGAGATACAAATTTTATCTTCTCTTGTGGAAGATCTTTTCAACAGTCAATCATAAAATTTATATCTACACCTCCATGTAATATCCTCTATTTCTTACAAATTGAATGAAAATCAATCATGGCATTAATACAAAACTGATTGAAAGTTATTAAAATGGCCACCATATTGTTGAAGTGGTCCATTATTTCAGAAGTGACACTTACTTTTTTGTGAGTATTTAAAAGAATGCTAACTGCACCATTAAAAATAGGGGTACAACAGTGATAGTACAATTACTAAAAGTTTGAGAAGGCAAGTGTCTGAACAGAGTCTTCAGTCCCATGGTGTTTTTAAAGATGACATAATAGACGAAAAAAGTCATAGAATGATTGGATACCTGTGAAAGTCCCATGAAGTAGCTAACATTATCAGAGATATACAAACATTGACCATCAGGTGCCACAACGTACAAAAAACCATCCATTGCCTAAATTCAAACAGAATAGTAAATAGTAATAYTCCAACATAGTCAATAACACAGAAAGAAATATTATTTCTACCTCTAAAGCTTCTTTATCATATACTGAAGTTCTTGTTATACTCATTTTGTGCATTTGTTTTGGATCTGGGATTAAAAAAACCCTGTTAAAAATTCCATTTGATAAATACTCATAACTCATTGATAATACCAATAAGTCAATTATCTTAATCATTTATTTCTAACTAAATTATGAAAATCTGTGCTGGCCAGTCACTGAAACACCATCTCATACTTGGTGCCTACACAGGGCTCTCAAACCTATTTTAATAGGTTTGAAAAGATTTGAAATTTAAAAATTTCAAATCTTTTCAAATGCTAAACCAATAAAAAATAAAAAAAACTAAGCTTCTGAAAAACCACTCATATTTCACTCAGCTATATTCATTTTTGTTTTTGCAAATACAGTGTAAATAAATAAATAAAGAAATCAATCAATCATTCTGCCTGCCTGCCTGCCTGTCTCTTTTGTAACTCATTTTTCTCGAACCTATCTTTATAATGAAATCATAAAATTATTCTTTTCTGCTTCCTGTGTGTAAAGGTCAGGTGCTTAACCTCAGTCTTAAAACTTAAAACACCCCGAAGAATTATTTGATTTTATCTAATAAAAAAGTGACAAAAGCGACATATTGTGCTATATCAACAAAGAATTTTGTTCAAAATTCGGTTGTTCCCTGGTAGCTATGTAGGATAGACACAAACCCTTACCTTTCTAATCTCTCAAAGTTTCAACAAGTGTTTTGAAATATTTCAAAAAAATGAAGGTTAGGTTGTGTAGTTATTCACCTGCTGACATTCTTACGATTTGAAATTAGCTCAAAAAATGACTTCAAATTTGAARAGTTCATAACTTCGCGAGGTTGAAACTGATTGAAGCGATTTCTTGAACAATGAAAGTTTTCTGTCTTAGTAATATGCCTACGAAAAAGATGATAAAAAACTTTTGAGTTTTTCTTATTGATTTTAAGGATTTTTGTCGAAGGTATCGTATGTGACAAAACTCGAGCAATTTTCAAATTTTTGAAAGGTCTTAGCCTTCTTGGTAAGTTCCGTCATTCACGAATTCAACAATAGATGCACTAATGATATATAGTAAAAGCACACAGATTGGTATGCACAAACTGGTCGGAACCATTGTTAATAGCAAAGAAGTAACCATCCATTTGAAAAAAAATTGAGCTCTCATTGTTATTTTTGTATATTTTTTTTCAGGGCAGGTATGGTTCCAAATAGGCCTTGAAGTTTTAATGCTAAAAAATTCAACCAAAATACATAAGAAAAACTACCAAAGCAAATGAAAAAAGTTTTTGAAAACCTCCTCAAGTATAAAATAAGCCAGTTACATACGGCCCGAGGGATGTATAGGCTGATACCGATGTTCTCGGTATGTAACTCTTACTTAGACGATATAATGAAATCATGTTGATTGGTTTAAATATCATCGTATTGTATTGAATTAAACTTTCCAGGTAATACGTCACTTTTGTAACTTTTTTACTTTACATGTAAAAGCAATTTTTTTTCTGATCTACATTTTCTTGCAAAAAATAGCATACTTTGTTTTTTGTTTTTTTTTCGTCTTAATATATTTATTAGTACATTACTACATTAATTAGTACATTACTACTAGATAATAATTACTAAATATCATAAGTTACTATTTACAATTGAAGAGAGCTTTGCCATAAGCGAAGCCCACAAAGATGTTGTTATTGACAATAG